AGGGACCACAGGGATCTGCCACATCTCGTTGTAGACATCCCTGTCCTCATGAAGGTCCCAAAGAATTCGATCGCCAAGCCTTGCGGTGTAGGTCTTGGCTCCCTTCGAGTTCGTGTCCATGCCGGCCTTTGCCAACCGCCGCACGGAAATCAGGTTTGCAGCAAGGCTGGGCACCCAAAGCACGTTCTTGAGGCCCACCATCTTCCCATCAGCACCCTTGAACATGGCCTTGCCCATGCCTTTCACCTCTGCTCGCTACCCCAAAGCCGATGTGACATGCTTCACCGGTGACGGCTCGAGTTCGGTGAGCAAGTCCGGGCGAGGTGTCATGCTATAGGTAGCGCCACTATCAATCACCCAATAGTCCAGGGGGTGTAGGGTCACCTTCCCCACAGCTGCTGGCTCCTCAAAGCCTTCATCCTTCTCTGGACCAGCCGGTACTTGCGTCGACACGAAGTAGAATAGACCCGGGTATCGATCGTCACTCGGGTCCTTGTCGTTGTCTCCGCTCTTCATGTTTGCAGCTCCGCCACCGCGACCGCCACAGCCTCCACGGCCTCGTCATCTCCCTCCTCCTGCTCCTCTACCCTCTTGGCCTTGAGCAGGGGTCCAACCATCAGGGAGTTTGTAGCAGTCGCGCCACATGTGTCCGCTCTTGTGGCAATAGTGACACTCGCCGTCGAATCGGCCGCGACCGCGTCCGTAGCTCTTGTCGTCGCTGCCGTAACCGCCACTCCTGCGGCCTCCGCCGAAGTTGCTGCCACCAAACCTTCCTCCCCCTCGTCCTCTGCCTCTTCCTCGACCATATCCACGGCCGATGCTCGCTGCCCCAGCGCCATCCGCACTCGCCAACTCACGGCGGCGGAAATCCTCTTGAAGGATAGCTCGCTTCACGTCTTCAAGCGAGAGGCGGGGCAAGTCGCGATTAAGGTTGATGATGAGCGAGGACCATGACTCTGGGAGTAAGGCCAGCAACTTGGTCTTCTTTTGGAGCTCACTGTAGTTCAAATCAGCTCCCTCAAGCCGCGTCAACAAGTCGAAGAATTTCTGCACCCCTTCTTCAACCGCTTCGTCTTCTTCAATTCGTAGTGCCGCCATTTGCCGTTCCAACACCACCGCTACCGCCGCTGTTGCAGGAGCATGTACACCCTTGAGAGCAGCCCATGCCTTTGGTCCTTTCTCTGGTTCACGCTGGAATGGCTTGATGTGACGGATCTGACTGCTCCCCAACGCTTGCCCAAGTAAGAGATAGCCTTGTGCGCTCTTCCGCACCCACGGGCTCTTCTCCGGGTCGTTCTCGGGGCGCTTCTCCGTTCCTTCCATCACCTCCAGCAGGTCATAGTGGTCAAAGATGTTCTCCATCTTGAAGGACCATTCAGCAAAGTTGTCACCGTTGAACTTGTCAAGCCCAAACACCCTAGGCTCATCCCTAGGTGGGCCAAGACTTGGTTGCATGGGCGCCATGGCTGAATCACGGGGTTGGCCTTGAGCTTGAGCTTCTCCACTGCCACCAGCACCTCTGCCACCCCTTTCCTCAGGTCCAGACATTGTCTAAACTGCTCCAAGGGGCTCTGATACCACTTGTTATAGTCACAATAGGCTTGAATGTGCCTAAAACGAAAGATAGAGAGCACAGACGGATTTCTGCACAGCGGCTTCAAACGTTGATAGCGTTCTGCTCACAGCTGCAAATGACTTGATTCAAATTGGATCTAGAGCGTCTTCACGTCGTCTACAATTAGCAATTTAGATTGCACGATTTGATAAAGAATTGACGACACAGCGTCGGTTTGAACGAACGGTACTATGGCAGCCACTATAGTCTTAGAACACAAGATAGGAAGAGTTACGAGTTGGGAATGACTCCCAGCTCCTACAAACCCCAAGAGCCGAGGTACAGTGATGTGGAACAGTGCCACACTGTCCCCAACCACGAAGGGTCTCGAAACTACCCTTCACTAGGGCCTACACCAAGTGAAATGTTACACTACACAAAGTAATGTAACTATCTTCAATATCTTGAGGTGTACCCTTTTGGCAAGCTTCGAAATCACTTGAGGCTTGACACCAAGGCTCGGGCTCTTCATCACAAACTCATCCTTGAGTTCTTGATGGGTCTGCTGCACACACCTGCGACACGCCGAACGTTCGACACAGGACAAAATAGAAACCGCGCACGACAAAATAGAAACCGCGCGCGAGACACAAACGACCGCGTAACACGCGTCTAGCGATAACTCGCTATTGACTCGACACACACACTCGACATCATGACTCAACATTCACACACAATTATAAGCATGAAATACATATTATCCCATGCCCTCATACCATTCCATACACACACACATTCACGCACACGGACAACAAGCCGAGTGCAAACCGTAGGGTTGCACCAACAGTCAGCGGTACCAGCACTGCTCCGAACTCAGCGGAGTAGCCAAGCGGGTCATGACCTGCTACGGCCAGGAGTGAAGGGGGTTGTTACAAATAGTAAAAGATGAAGCATTACTGTGCACTCCTTACTGCAACAATCGAAGCACGCACTACCGAGGCTGAAGATGAAAAGACGGAAGTGACGCGAAGGGTCGTACGGATACGAAAGGATCTGGACCGTTGGGCAGACAGCATCAGGCAGCAGCAGTGGCGAGGATTCTGCCCAGGCAGTTCGTAACCGTGTGGAGTCGCACGGTTGAGTTTCGCTGTAATAAGGGAATGTACCCCTTAGAGTACATGGCCAGCTATGTCGTTTCGTATTCCTTCCAGTTCTCCTATTTATACCTTTGTAATTGCATGTTTTAATCATCTCAAACATTGTACATTCACTCTGCTTTTGAGGTCAAGGGCCCACCACTACTAATCAGTTGTGTGCGAACGTTCCCGAGGTGATCCTAGGAACGATCAACTTCTGATCGCAGCAGGTGTCACGGGTGTCAGCGACTACAGTGATTTAAGTGGCGTGTCTGTACAAGGCTCTTTTGCGGCACGTGTATACACTACCGCAACAATCGTCAGGATTGCACGTAAACATCAGCGCTGGGAAAAATCCAATCCCGATTTCCTGCCCATGAACAATTGGTGCCGGATAGCTGCGCATGGTTTACTGACCCGCCGAGCAAGTTGCACCAGGAAGGTGGTTCACCAAAATGGCAACGTGTGATACAAAACAGCCAATGCTGATCAACTAGTTGTAACAAAGAGAGCCATCATACAACAAAGTCTGCCAACCTTCCTTGTTCCGCAATTAACAATCTTTTAATTCTTGAGTTTTTTTACAAGCCCAACTGTTCTAGCTGCGATGTTGACGAACCCCTGCGAAATGCAAGTTAACCTATAAGCCCAGTAAGTAGTTCAAGTATGTGGGACTCTAGTGGGCATTCGCTGTATATATACCCCATAATGTTGTCATCATACCAACCTAACGCCACCTATGGGATTGGATCTTCTATTCCTCGGTGAGTTCAATTCCAGGCCTACACGACAAACGCGTATGCTTGGAAGGGACCACATTCCATTCATGGGTCTCGGCTCTCAATGTTGGGCGAAACCAGCATTTTAGCAGTTGTCAGCGTCGCACTACAGTGGAGGTGTCGCATGGACGTGGCGCACCGCATACTCTTCCAATTACTGTATCTCTGCTGCTTGAGCAAGAGAGAGCGAGAGAGTGAGCCTAGGATGTGAGAACGAGGGAGAAACAGAGGAATGGGGGAGGGAGCTAGGGTTTACCGATGCATTACCGAGGTCGGTTGGAACTGTTGACCAATGACTGGCAGACAGTTCGTGGTCATGCCAGTCATTGGTGAGGCGAGGAGAAACCACCTCACAAAATTCGTTGAAAGCCGCGTCGCGTGCTCCCGCGTGCAGCTCACTCTGCGTCAACGAATCAGGAGCGTGTCTCTTAGCGGAGTTATGAATTCACTCGGTCCTAAAGCCAACCTGGCAAACACGCGGACCCTGCTAAGTTTAGGGTTGTCGCCTTTAAACCAGCCTGGCTACACGCCGAGTTGTCGTCGCATATTAATGGCGAAACTCAGTCCCTAATGCCACTCCCTCCACCACTCGCCGACCAAAGGCCTGGCAGGACGATTCAATTGTCGTGCAAACTAGAAGGTCACACCTGTCAATGCCAGCTACACCTGAACGTGCCGCTCCGTACGCTGATTTTGAGATGTCTACAAAATACACCTTTATCACGAGGCTATTCAATTATCCTGCAAACTTAGAAGGTCACACCTGTCGTTGCCAGCCAGACCGGGATGAGGGACGTGCCGCTCCGTACACTCCACACGCCGCATTTAGTCGGTTTGGTTTCAACCGGCGGGAGAAAGAAAAGAGTGTGCGAGTGAGGCGAGTAGGTATCCCTCCTTCAAAGGCATTCCGCACCTGGAATCCCACACTTCTTGTTGGAGGCATCCCTCACTTCTCGTTTTCAGTCCAGCATGGCGCACCGATAAACTCTCTATAAACCGCCTTCTAGTTGCACTAGTAGTGGTTACTGGTTTGTTGAAAGCCTCTAACAAACCAGAACACGGCTAAAGCTGCTACCTTACAGGCGAACTTACAATTGACATCCGGTGCTGGAGCAGGAACACGGGTGGCTATCACACCACTGGTGATAACGAGTCAGCTATAACACCTCCCCCACTGGGTCAAAACGAGGGTGTTATTTGGCGCAGCGGAGTGCCCTTAACACAGCCCACAGGCGTTACACTCGTCCCCCCCTGGTGCCAACGTCCCCGTTGGCCTCGGACTTCAGGGAGTCGCCCCCCTGCCGCTGGGACCTAGATTTCAGGATCGTTCACTGGGTCTGAGCTGGTAACCACACTTCAGTTCTCACCATAGGTGGAAAGTGTGGACCAGCCGGGACTCGAACCCTAGGCTCTGAAACCAGTATAACACCTCGCTACCCACTGGGTCAAAACGAGGGTGTTATTTGGCGCAGCGGAGTGCCCTTAACACAGCCCACATGCGTTACATCAGCAAAGGCATGCACAGCCGCCATGGAAGTCTGTGACTATATCGAGTTCGGTCTCCCCGGATCCGTGCTGTACCGGGGCTTTCTCCTGTCCGACCCTCCCGCCCGCGCTTCCACCATTCAGTCTGAGCGAAATGAGGACAGCACCGTGATCCTCCACCCAATCTCCACGTGGAATGACGTTCCAATTCGCCCTGCTGACTCAGCTTCGACAGATGGCGGCAGCGGTGGCTGTGCTGGAGTGTCTTCTTCTAAGTCGACTACAAGATTTGGAGCGGCTTCTCAGAGGTCGATTGCTGAGAGAAGTTGTGCTGTGGACGCTTCAGCGGGTGTGAATGGGCTTATGGCAGGCGACAGCATTTCCATGGTTTGCTGCACGCCACGAAACTCGTGGGTGCAAATCGAGGCCGCTTGTAACGAAGCTTGTCACCCTCTGCGCGTTCGCCAGGTGGACGGGTTACCCGCTCATTACAGTCACAATCTCGATTGGAACCTCGGGATCATCCCGCAGACGTGCTCCTGCCACCAAGGCGACAACATGATCGAAGGGAATCCTCAGTCTGAATCTGGCAATCGCAAGTCGTGTGACAAGACATGCGACAATGTGGGCGGCAAGGCGTGCGACGGCGTGTGCGACCAGCACGCCCCTTTAGAGGTGATCGAAATCGGGCGTGGGGAGGCTCGAGTGGGGCAGGTGTACCCGGTGAAGCCGCTGCTCGCGTTCCTCGTCGTCAGCCTCGATCTCGAGTCCTCCTGGAAGATCGTGGCCGTCGATTCGTCCGATCCGATGGCTGCGTCGCTGCTGGATTCGCGAAGTGGTTACCCAGTTTGGTTGGAGAAAAAGCTGCGCGAAATAGTGGAGTGGCTCAGATACTACAAGTGCAACACCGTGTGTAAGTGGAGCCTCCATTCCTTTCTGGCATAAGCAATCGTTCTTCCCCTCACCTCCTCACCTCAACTCACCTCACCTCACCTCACCTCACCTCACCTCACCTCACCTCACCACACCAGACCACACCCTCATCACCTCAGCTTCTTCCCTCTCCTCCCGTTTCTTCACCCACCCCTCCGTTTTTCCAATTAGTCGATCCGCCCAGCACCATGGCAGGTCTTTTCTCATCTGACCTCTCCCCCACTCATCTCTCCCGTTCTCCTCCCCCCTCTTCCCCCATCCCTCCGTTTTTTCTATCAGTCGATCCGCCCAGCACCATCGCGGGTCGTGAGAAGCCAGCACCCTTGCATCGCACCATCGCCGCCATCAGCGCCGCCCATGCTGCCTGGATGCACTGCCGCCGGCAAGGCTGCTGCAGCAGCTATGAAATCAGCACCAACACTAGCAGCAGCGCCGCCCATGCCGCCTGGACGCACTGCCGCTGCCGCAGCAGCAGCAACGTAACGAGAACCAACACCACGAGCAGCAGTATTCCTAATGACAGCGTTGCTCTGAAGGATCTGAGGCAGCTCGCAGAACAAACGGCCTCCGCTGCTCTCACCAACGCCATCTCTGAATTCCCCCGCGTGCCCTTCGCCCAACCGGCCTCCGTACCTGCCCCCGCCACAACTGCTGCTGCTGCTGTTGTTGGGGAGCAACAGCAGCAGGAGAAGCAGCGGCAGCAGCAGCAGCAGGGGAAGCAGCAGCAGCAGCAGCAGGGGAAGCAGCAGCAGCAGGGAAGGAACCCGACAAGACACTTACGATCGTCCTCGTCCGGTGCTCTTGAGATCTTCTCTGGAATGCTGCTGGAATCCCCCTCCCATCGCTCCGCCTCCCCCTTGCGTTGCTCCCCCTCTCCCTCCCCCTTGCATCAACCCCCTTCCCCCTTGCATGGCGCCTTCTCTTCCCTCCGCCAGCCCCTCACGCCCTCCGCCATGTCGCCTCCAGAGACAATTCAAGAGGCGCGTCAAGAGGCTGATTGTTTGGCTATTCAAGCAAGTGGAATGAGAGGCAATCACAGGCGATCACGCAGCAGCAGCAGCATCTTCAGCTTCAGCGAAACCGACACGGACAATGGCAATTTCAATGCAACCAGCAACATCAGCAGCAGCAACAGAGGGATGGGACGATCGCCTTTTCGTCATGCCCTCATTCCCCCACCTCTTCCAGACACCTCACCCTCATCCCCTCAGCCATCCCTCCCCACTTCTCCCAGTTTCTCTTTCCCTCCCTTGAAACCCCCCCCTGGCATGCCCTCTCCTGTGCCCGCTCCGGTGCCCTCTTCCTTGCCCTCTCCCTTCTCCTCATCCTCGGCCTCTCCTCTCAACGTGGCTCATACCAGATCCAGCTCTGATACCTTTTCCAGAGGATGGAAGTACCATTTCCACCGGTCTTTATCCGCCCACACCGAACAGGAGGCCTGGGAACCCGCTGGGAAGGCTGAAAAATCTGAGAAGTCTGAAAACTTTGAGAAATATGAAAACTTTGGGAAGTGTGGGACGGACCTGCTTCTGCTGGATACCCCAGAAGAGCTCGTCGTATTCCCGAGGGCGCAAAGGGCAGAAGCGGAACTCCTTGGAGCTTCTAAGGGGGCCGCTGGGCTGCCAAAAACGGCAAATTCGCCCAAAACGGGCAAACCGGCCAAAGGCGACAGCGGCTTTCGCGCTGGGCTGGGGATGATGATCCCAAGAGCACGCACTGATCTAGGGCTGATGGTGCCTACAGGGGAGACCGAGCGGCCCAGCACCCCCAGAGCAGGCAGTAAGCCGCCCAAGTCACCCATAGCAGGCAGCAGTAAGCAGGGACCGATGATCCCAAGGGCACGCACTAACCTGGGGCTGATGAGCTCAAATGGGCAAACTGTAGGTTGTGTTGACAGCGGCAGTGGTGGCGGTGATGTTGGTGGGAGGAGCGGCGGCAAGAGCAGGATGCTGAAAGCAGTGCTGAAGCTATTCAGGAAGAGCCTGGGGAAAGGGCAGAGCGAGAGCAGCAACAGAACGCGGAACAACAACGGCTTGCAGGGTGCATCTGAGATGGCATCAGTAGGCCAAGTCTCACCTTCCCCTGATTCCCCCTCCCTGCATACTGATGTTGACGCTGACGCTGACACCGATGCTGATGCTGCTGGCGCTGCTCCTGTTGCTGATGCTGATGCGGCTGCTGCTGGCGCTCCTGTTGCTGCTGGTGGTATTGCCGCTTCGTTTGAGCACTCAATACACTCCGCCTCGTCCAACCACATGACACACGCTGCTTCTCCACCCCCACAGCTTTTTGAGGTGCCTCAAACTTCGTATGAGCACCCTGCCTCTTCCCAGGACTTATCTCACGCTGCCATGCACACTGCTCCCGTCTGCCCTGATCCCATCCACACTGCTTCCCAATCGACTCACACGTCACCTCTATATCCAGACGTGTATGGCGTCCCCGTGCATGCCACCCCCGTTTACCCTGCGCCACCGCATCGCCGCCAGCCCGGAAGCAGCAAAAGCAGCAGGAGCAACAGCAGCGGCGGCGGTGGAAGCAGCACAAAGAGCGCCCACATTCCCCAAGGCAGCAGTGGCGATACCAGCAGTGTAGGGTGCAGCGACAGCACGAGCGTCAGCAGCTGCGGCAGCAGCAGGAGGGCGTCAGGAGGGGAAGGAGGAGGGGAAGGAGGAGGGCCAGGGAGGCGGGCTTATGCGCGTGCACGTGCCCAAAGGCGGACCTATGGCTCCTCAGACAATCTGGAACTGCTGCTGCCAATATCACAGGAATCACAGGGGTCTCCAGAAGGAGGAGCAGCAGCAGCAGCAGCAACAGCAACAGCAGTACGTCAAGAATCACAGGAATCACAGGAATCACAGGAACCACGACGAGCAGCAGGGGCAGCGGCATGGGAAGGACAGGAGGTTCCAGCAAGGCCAGTGTTCCCTCTCCCTCCCAAGAGCCCCAAGAGCCCCAGGGTCCCTCGTGGCTCACGTGCCCATGCACACGGCCATAGGCGCGCCCATACGTGGTCAGACAACCTGGAGCTGCTGCTGCAGGAGTCACAGGAAGCACAGGAATCACTGGGAGGAGCAGTACCAGTGCCAGGAAGAGGAGGAGGAGGAGCAGCAGCAGCAGCAGCAGAAGTGCGGCAGGAACTGCAGGCTCAACAGAGGCCCGTGTCCCCGCTTCCTCCCAAGAGCCCCAGGATCCCTAAGGTCCCTCGTGGTTCACGTGCCCGTGCAGAGAGGCGCCGCAACCTGTGGGACGTGTCTCCTGGGGAGGACCAAGGCAACTCGTCGTTGGAATTCACATTTGAGATGTCGCCTCCTGCTGGGCGGGGCTGCAACTCGCAGGGCGGCCAGGGTTACTCGAGCAGCCATGGCAATGAGCGACGAGAGTGTGTTGAAGCTGGCGTTGGAGCGGTTCAGCAAGGCAAGAAGCCGCCTGCTGCTGCGGCTTCTGATGCAGCTGCTGTCGCGGCTAGTGCTGCTGCAGGAAAAGAAGACGACGGATGTTCTTCTCACAACGAGGAGGATCATGGTGGGAGTGCTTCTAACGAAGGCGAATGCAGCGAAAACATATCTGTGTGTGTGTACGGGGATGATACTTTGTTGGATAACCTAAGTGTAGGCATTCCCAATGGGAACGGCTCTAGCTGGGGAGAACAGAGGAGCCGCAGCATGGGAAGGAGCATCCAGGGCATGAGCAATGGTGGCATTTCGTTTGAAGTGCCAGCAGAGAGATCAAACACGGGCGGCAGGCAGACGCTGCACCGCCGGAGTGCCTCTGAATGCCCCTTTGAAAGTGCCTTCGGCCGCGCCTCCTTTGGACGAAGCCTGCATCGCAGCGACAGTGTGGGCAGCGGGGGCAGTGTGGGCAGTATGGGCAGTGCGGGGAGTGCGCGGTTGGTGTGTGAGCGCATCTTGAGTGCATGTGACGTGTCTCCAGTGCCCATCATCCTCTCCTCCCACCTCGGCAGCGTGGGGCTGCCTCGACGGGCTCGCACGGCAGAGAGACCTGCAGAGAGCACCTGGGCTGATTGGCATACTGCAGATGCATGCAGGGGTGATTCACATCCAGCGGTCAAGTCTGGTTCTTCCTCTGCAGGAAGCACAGAGTGCTCTTCAGTCGCAGCAGGAGGAGCAGGAGCAGCAGCAGGAACAGGAGAAGCAGGAGCGGCAGGAGCAGCAGCAGGAACAGGAGAAGGGGTAGCAGCAGGAGGAACAGGAGAAGCAGGAGCGGCAGGAGAAGCAGCAGGCGGAGAAACCCCCTCTGCTGCCCCCCAGTTGCCAGCGAGAGCAGCAGCACCATCGGCAGGTGTGTCTAAGAGGCCCCGCCAACGTACCTCCAGCTACCCTGATTTCGAGGGCCTTCCATTCCCGCTGCCATCCCACCTTCCCCAACCACAAGCCGCGGGAGAAGCAGTAGCATCGGCAGCAGCAGCAGCAGGAGTGGCGGAAGAAACAGCAGCGACAGAAGAAGCAGCAGACGAAGGGGAGGGAGGGAAGGAGGGGCAGGAGTCGCTTGAGTCTCGCTTGAGGCGATGGCATGAGAGCATGGGCGCCTCATCCACCCTCTCCCTGCCCCACGCCTCCTCCCGCCCGCTCTCCCCGTTGCGTCCCCCCCCCGCCGGTCTCTTTCTCCCCGGCCTGCCCCACTGGACCAAGCGGTCGCTCCCTCGTTCCCTCCGCATCTCCCGCTCGCTGCTCTCCTTTCAAGAGAGCGCCCTGCTGGAGCACCGCCAGGAGAATGCCCTCCTGCAGGGCTTGGCTAGACAAAAGGAAGGGGAAACCGGCAGGGAAACATTCGAGGAGAATTACCTGTGCCTTGGGAGCAACGAGGGGATTGATGAGGGGAGCAAGGAGGAGAGGAAGAAGAGGCCAGTGAGGCGTGTGCGGGCAAACAGCGACGGAGGTGTGGGCACCCTGATGTCAGCAGCAGCAGCAGCAGCAGTAGCAGCGCCAGTGTCTCCCGGCAAGTCGATCCGAGCGGCCGTGGCCGTCTATTCGGCCTCGAGAGAGTTCTGGCGGCCCCCCTCCACCCCCAAGCCTGTGATGGCCTGCCAACTGAAGCAAGCCAAACTGAGCCTGCCGAGATACTCCCCCCCGATACCACCGATCGGGCTGGAGAAGCTAATGGAGGGTGCAGGAGGGGGAGGCGGGACTGGGGCAGGTGGGACTGGTGGGAGTGGTGGGTTGGCTGGGTTTGGCCTGTTTGGTGGTGGGGGTGGGAGTTGGGGGTTGGGGACGGGCTGGTGGGGTGCGGGAGAGGGTGCGGAAGGGGAGAAGGAGGGGAGGGAGCGGACGGAGGGGAAGGAAGGGAAGGGTGAGGCAGGATGGCCTGGGTTTGAAGGGTTGACAGACGTGGCGTGGGGGGTGATGTGGGGGGGAGGAGGGGGGAGTGGAGGTGGGGAGCAGACAACCGAGGAGAAGAAAGAGGGGGACGTGGTTGAAGGTGCAGGGAAGGCCCTGGGAGATACTACGGAAGAAGAATGGGTAGGGGATGGAAGAGATGAGGAGGGATTGAATGTGGGTGACAATCGCACTTGTACAGAGGGGGTTGAGGAAGACGCTGGGGAAGTTGCAGGGGAGGAGGTGAAAGGAGGTGCTTGAACAAGACTTTGTTGAAATGTAAGAAACCTAGGGTTGTGTGATTGTGACAGAATGGTAGGCAATAATGGTGGTCGTAAGACTTTCATCTATGTGATTTCGTACCGGCCACTAATATAGGGTGATTTCATGCTAGTAAGCATTATACGGTATGCTGTTTATGTTCATAACGTACTGCTACGGTATACAGGGAAAATATGCCACAAGTAACCATCATGTGACCCGATAACGTCAATGGTAAAAAACAAATGTGTACGGTAACTGTATCGAGTATCCTGACGGGCTTGGTAAGTGGGGTCACGGATTCAGTCACTAACAGCACGTGAAAAATCACGCGAATGGTAACACATGAAACTCCCGCCAGAAATACCTGAAACCAGGCCGATTTCCCGCTCGCGCCAACTCATGCGGAGAGGTTTGATGCACGCCTGTACCGTCGAGCCTGCAGCCCACAGTAACCACACCACGATCCGACGTGCTGTACACCCCCCCCTGCTCGCTACGGTTCCAACCAACATTCCCTCTCCTAACTTACTTCCTGCCAGACTTGCTCTCTAGCCCGCGCCATCAGCTATACCTCACGTTATTAGCTATAACTTTCGCCAGCTGGCTTCCCAGTCACATATCCAAGGCATTCATTAGCAGCACCTGACGTCTATCAACGGTGCGTGCCTTAGCCCAAAAGCCCTTTCCCATCCGTTCACGTTCAGTCCCTTGTTATTCGAAAAAAATATAATAATATACATTAGAAATTCGATCAGACCGCTGTCGCGATGCGCCCAGCGGCCGGCGCGCCGCTCCGCACATCGCGCCTATCGGGCCCGATTGTCGCGAGATGCAGTGCGGCCACTTCGCCGCTCGACGCATCGAGACGATCAGGAGCAGCCGCCGCCGTCGCGATGCGCAAAGCGGCCAGCATTTGGCCGCTCCGCGCATCGCGCCGACCGTGCCGCCGCTGTCACGATGCGCACTGTGGCCAGCTTTTGGCCGCTCCGCGCATCGCGCCGACCAGGCCGCCGCCGTCGCAATGCGCAATGCGGCCACCCTGCTGGGCGAGAGTGTGCCACCGCCGAGGCCAGATTTTCCATGCTCTCTCGTCTGCTAGCCCCCCCTCTCGTGCTCTCTTGTCTCCTGCCCTTTTTTTCTCACTCCCTCACATGCCGTGTCATCCCCAGCCAAAGCCTCGATTACGTCAATTCCCTCTCTCGTGCCAGGCCTCGCTTTTATGCTATCTCGTGCTTGACTGCTCTCTAATCCCCTGACACTCTGATCCCCTCTCATACCCTCTCACACACTCATCCCCTCTCACACACTCATCCCCTCTCACACACTCATCCCCTCTCACACACTCATCCCCTCTCACACACTCTCATCCCTCTCACACACTCTCATCCCTCTCACACACTCTCATCCCTCTCACACACTCTCATCCCTCTCACACACTCTCATCCCTCTCACACACTCTCATCCCCTCTCATCCCCTCTTCTCCCTTCTCATCCACTCTCATCCTCTCTCATCCCCTCACATACACTCTCATACACTCTCATACACTCTCATACCCTCTCATCCACTCTCATCTCCTCTCATAAACTCCCATACACTCTCATTCACTCTCATCCCCTCTCATACACTCTCATACACTCTCATTCACTCTCGTACACTCTCATTCCCTCTCATCTCCTCTCATCCACTCCTATCCCTTCTCGTACACTCGCATCCTCTCCCATACCCTCTCATACACTCTCATACACTCTCATACACTCTCATACCCTCTCATCCACTCTCATCTCCTTTCATAAACTCTCATACACTCTCATTCACTCTCATCCCCTCTCATACACTCTCATCCACTCTCATCCACTCTCGTACACTCTCATTCCCTCTCCTCTCCTCTCATCCACTCCTATCCCTTCTCATACACTCGCATCCCCTCTCATACCCTCTCATACACTCTCATGCACTCTCGTACACTCTCATTCACTCACATCCACTATCATGTACACTCTCATATCTTCTCATACACTCCCATACACTCTCATTCACTCTCATTCACTCTCTACCACTCTCATACACTCTCATACACTCTTATGAGCTCTCATCCCCTTTCATACACTCTCATACACTCTCAGTCGCCCCCATTCCCCCTCATCCCCTCACATGCTCTCATTCCCTATCATCCCCTCTCATTCCCTCGCATTCCCTCTCATTTCCCTTTCATTCCCTCTCATCCACTCTCATTCCCTCTCATCCACTCTCATTCCCTCTCATCCCCTCTCATTCACTTTCATCCCCTTTCGTCCCCTCTCATTCCCTCTCATTCATTCTCATACACTCTCATCCCCTCCCATTCACTCTCGTCCTCTCTCATCCCCTCTCATCCTATCACACACTCTATCATTCCCTCTCATCTCCTCTCATTCACTCTCATCCATTCTCATACGCTCTGATACACTCTCATCCCCTCTCACACACTCTCATTCCCTTTCATCCCCTCTCATTCACTCTCATTCTCTCTCATCCCCTCTCATCCCCTCTCATCCCTCTCATACATTGTCATACACTCTCATCCCCTCTCATCACCTCTCTGGTCCTGGTTCCCCGTTCCTATCATATACACTCTCAACCCCTCTCATACACTCCCATACACACTCATACACTCTCATCCCTCCTCATCCACTCTCATACACTCTCATCCCCTCTCATCCCCTCTCATTCTCTCTCATCCACTCTCATACACTCTGATACACTCTCACCCCCTCACATCCCCTCACACACTCTCATTCCCTTTCATCCCCTCTCATTCACTCTCATTCACTCATATTCCCTCTCATTCCCACTCATCCACTCTCATTCCCTCTCATTTCCTCTCATTCCCTCTCATACACTCTCATCCCCTCTCATCCCCTCTCATCCCCTCTCATACACTCTCATATACTCTCTTACACACTCTCATCCCTCCTCATCCACTCTCATACACTCTCAACCCCTCTCATCCTCTCTCATACACTATTATTCACTCTCACATACACTCTCATACACTCTTGTACACTCTCATCCCCTCTCATCCCCTCACATACTCTCATTCCCTTTCATCCCCTCTCATTCACTCTCATTCACTCATATTCCCTCTCATTCCCTCTCATCCACTCTCATTCCCTCCCATTCCCTCTCACTCCCTCTCATCCACTCTCATCCCCTCTCATCCCCTGTCATCCCCTTTGATCCCCTTTCATCCCCTCTCACTCCCTCTCATCCACTCTCATCCCCTCTCATCCCCTCTCATCCCCTTTCATCCCCTCTCATTCCTTCTCAACCCCTCTCATCCACTCTCATACCCTCTCATACACTCTCAACCCCTGTCATACACTCCCATTCACTCTCATACACTCTCATTTCCTCTCATCCCCTCTCATCCCCTCTCATACACTCGATGAGAGTCTCATACCCTCTCATACCCTCCCATACACTATCATATGCACTCTCATCACCTCTCATACACTCTCATTCCATCCCATCCCTTTGAGTTGGCTAGGTGGAGAGGTAATCAGCAAAGACGCGTTCTGTCCCTTTCGCATTGTCATACACGGGTCCAATAACTGTACCATAAAGGTCTCGGTAGCTAGTTTGATTCATGCCGTCGGATGCATATCTGGTGCCAGGAGAGATAGGAAGACAGCAGTCGGAGTGTTTACAAGGGAGACGATACATCACCATGACGATGACGGACCCACCAAGAGTGCCGGATATATCGGTGGCCGAGGACGGGTGTCGGTTGAGGACTGCGAAGGTCATGGCTGCAGAACACATATGGAGGGTGCAAGAGAATGGATGACGGAAGGAGATGAGAAGGCAGGAGCTGACTTAGTGCTTACACCTATAAATGTTATCTAAAGTGACGGTTAGGGGGTGGGTAAATTGGTGTGGGCGGCTTATAAATGGCTGGTTAGACAGTGTTGTCGATGAGGTATAAGGGACGATAAGCGTGGTGCGGAGAAATTTCATCGTCAATTTGGACGGTTCAGAGCTGGATAGTTCTGCGAGCATGGTTTAGGGATTAGGGGGGAATGGTTTCGGGTAGAAGTGTGGCTTCTCCGTGGGACACCGAGCTGATCGGATCATTAAAAAAAAAAGATATGTTTCTAGCGTTGTATACTATTTCGTCTACTTTCATCATTGCATACTGCCGTGCAGGTTCTGAAACATTCGTATCAAACACCATCTCTGCTTTTAGCAATCGCACATGTGCAAAACTGCTAAGTTGACACAACTAAGTGGGCGAGGGTAGGTATGCCAGACTACAAGCAAACTAGATGAAACTCGCTCTTGACTCTTGAGGTCAACTTACCGTACTACGGTAACCATGCATACCATAGTCCCAAGTGTAGTATCTACAAGGACCTGCTACTATTCTCTATCCCTATTGGCAATGAGATCTATTGTGCAATCCATGCATTAACCCCGCAACCTACTGATGGAGTGGCATGCCCATATGACTGTACGGTATTGTTAAAAACATTTCAATAGGCCACAACAGGTATGTACATGACACGACTTGTCAACCATTGCCGTGATTAAGGGTAGGTAATTTATTCAACAACTCCCATGCTCACCTACCTGCCCCACAACGTCCTGTTAAAAATGGACACACTGAACAACACAAACAACTGAAAGAAGTAACTAGAAGATGTTGAGCAATTGATACTAATTGTTTTAACTATTGAATATTGGTACCATACGCTTGCATGGGAGTATTTTTGTGACGGTGCAGAGCCACGGTCGGAAAAAAAAGGACATGCTATCAAACCAGTTGCAGTGCGCTCTTGAAGTCAATCCTGTAACCATGACTAAAATATCATGCATAGCCCACAAGTTCTACTGCAAAGAGCAATTACTGTTCTCGTCCCCCTGTTGGCACGATGTCCTGTTGTGCATACTAGGCACCGACCCCTCAACCTCCCGTTGCAATGGCATGCCCACATGGCTCCAACGTTGCGCCAGGCCTGCAACATTCCCGTGCATTGGCATTCCCACGCGTCCCCATCGTTGGTTAAGGGCTTGAACGTACCCAGTTTGCCCTTGTAACGCTTCCTGGGACCCAAGTTGGCCTCTCGTATCCTGCTGCCCTCCCATCCCCTGCAGCCCTCCCATCCCCTGCTGCCCTCCCAGTCCCTGCTGCCCTCCCATCCCCGCCTGTCCTCCGCACCCCTGCTGCCCTGTCATCACGTGCTGCCTGACCATCCCATGCAGCCCTCCCAGTCCCTGCTGCCCTCCCAACCCCGCCTGTCCTCCGCTCCCCTGCTGCCCTGTCATCCCGTGCTGCCTGGCCATCCCCTGCTGCCCTCCCATCCCCTGCAGCCCTCCCATCCCCTGCTGCCCTCCCAACCCCGCCTGTCCTCCGCACCCCTGCTGCAGTGTCATCCCATTCTGCCTTCCCATCCCCTGCAGCCCTCCCATCCCCTGCTGCGCTCCCAACCCCGCCTGTCCTCCGCTCCCCTGCTGCCCTGTCATCCCGTGCTGCCTTGCCATCCCCTGCTGCCCTCCCATCCCCTGCTGCCCTCCCATCCCCTGCTGCCCTCCCATCCCCTGCTGCCCTCCCAACCCCGCCTGTCCTCTGCTCCCCTGCTGCCCTGTCATCCCATGCTGCCTGGCCATCCCCTGCTGCCCTCCCATCCTTTGCTGCCCTCCCATCCTTTGCTGCCCTCCCAACCCCAGCTGTCCTCCCCTTCCCTGCTGCCCTCTCAACCCCTGCTGACCTTCCATCCCTTCCAATCCGCTGCCACCATTTTGTTCCAACCGTTCAGCTCCGCCCTGCTGTTCCGTGGACGACCGAGATCCATATCTGCCTCTGCCTCTCCCTCTCCCTCTTCCTCTTCCCTGTTGCCCTGTGCTTGCATGGCGTCCCCTGCCTCTGCCCCTACCTTCAGTTGATGTACGTTCCTCTCCTGCCTGTCTCACTACATCACGCTGCAGGAGTAATCCCTGTATCTGCCGTATACGCCCTGCAACCACGTCCTCCGCAGTCCTCAGCCCTTCCACCCGCTCGGCCACCGAAGTATCCGACACTCGTCCCGCCTGACTCTCTTGTGTGATGTCTATCTGTGTCGCCCCTGAATTATCTGTTTGAGTGGGCAAGTCTGAGTTCGTGGTTGTGCGTTCACCAAGACCAACATCACCGGCAGTTCCAGGATCCCTACCAAACACCTCGATCAGCGCCCCACCATATGTCACGGTGTCACGATCATCCCGTCCCTCCTCATCCTCTTCACCAATCCCTTCAACCAAACCGACACTCCCATCATCCTCGCTGCACGATTCCTCCTCCACATCACCCGGCTGTCCTTGTCTACGCATGGCTTGACACCTAATCCCTCTGCGGTGAGTTCGGTTGCAAGCGTTGCACAGGGCTACATGCACTACACCATCTGCGTCCGTCATTGTTTGCACTGACAATTGCCCTGCGGGGGTTTGCAAAGCCTCCCACAACACTCTGTTGGCTGCACGGACCTCGCATGTTTGGGCATTATGACCGTACTCACCGCACTTTCCACACTTGCGCAACTTGATTGGGTCCATCTCTCCTGTGGACCGCATTCTTCGCTTTGGTGGCCGACCTGCCTTCTTCTTGCAGACCGGAGGGAGGGTAACGCCGTCAGGGACCACAGAGGTTGGGTCGAGGAGTCGGATCGGCGTTCTGTACACTTGTTGCAGTGCAGGAGTTGTGTGATATTTCTGGATCACTGCGTGCGCCTTCTGACCATCATTTCTGAACACAGCGAAGATGTGTACGCATGGCAGCCCGTATTCCCTGTTTTTGGGATAAATGGGCGAAGAGGTAAAAAGGGATTAACGCATTATTGAAACTATCAAGCATCCTGTAAATATACAAACAGTGCCCCCCCCCCAAGGCAGCTCACAAATATACGAACAGTGCCCTCCCATAAAGAACATAAAGAACGACATAAAGAACGCTTTCCTACAGAGCAACCTCGACAGGGTGCTCTACATGTACCAGCCAGACTACTTCGACGATGGGACCGATCGGGTGTGTAAGCTGCTGAAGAGCCTCTACGGGCTGAAGCAGTCGCCACTGCTATGGTACAGGGCTCTTGACGGTGTGCTGCTGGGCGCTGGCTGGAAGAAGAGTTAGGTCGACAAGGCGCTCTACTTCAAAGCCGGCGACCACGTAGTGACCTGCTGGGTGCTGGCATACGTCGACGACCTGCTCGCCGCCAGCAGCAGCACCGTGATGATGAAGGAGCTGAAGGAGCTGCTGGAGGCCACCTTCGTGCTGCGTGAGATCTCGCCAGTGCTGAAGTACCTTGGGCTGGAGATCGTCCGCGACAGGCCAGCCAAGAAGTTGTGGCTGCACCAGCAGGGCTACGCCGACAAGCTGCACAGGCGCTTCATTGACGAGGAGCAGGGCGGTCGAGTGATGTTTAAGGAAAACAAGATAATTTCACCCCATGCTGCCCTGTCATCCCATGATGCCCTATCGTCCCGCATCCCTAAAAACATAACCTAAACACCACTTACTTGGTGTAGCCACATGATCAGTGGGTGGCTGCAAGATCCTCGGGGTTTGTGGTCACGACGCGCGACTCCTCCCCTTGGCACACTATGTACTCGTTCTCTCCCGATTCAACCACCCTGTATCTTTTGCCCTCATCGCGATTCCCAAGGACTATTGGCTTTGTCCTGGGGGGGAAGTCAGCAGCTGTCATCTCGGAGTATAATCGACGTCTCTCTTCGATCTTCGTCGATAGCCTAGATGCCAAGCCTAGCAGCACCTGCGGCAGATTCTTATCCCGCGATCCCGAAAGTGACGCATGGTGAGACTCAACGGGATTAGAAGACAAGCATCCATAACGCGGTGCTCCAAAATAAGCTGTCGCCCACTTAACGCCCAATCCATTGTCCACAAGGTACGAGGATCCACCGTGACATTCTATCTCAATTTTTTCCATTGTCTTGAGGTACACAAGCGGTGTCAGAGCCGCGGCATCTGCAAGAATTCGTCCGTCCAAATCTGTCATGAATTTGTTTTTGAAGTTTCGAACCAAATGGGTGATGCAAAAAGACTCCCGTATAAGGGGGAGACAAGTGGATGTGGCGGATATCCATGCCCCTCCCCTATCATGCATCATGACAAAGTTAGAGGAGTTCACCTCTGGAACGGCCTCCAATAGGAGATTGAATAGGAAGGCACATGCATGCTTGTTTTCACCCTCCACCCATGCACATCCCAACATAACAAGTTTGTGTTGGCTATCCAACATGCATATGCTCAGGGTGTATCCCCCCCATGCGGTCTTATTATGACATCCATCCGCAAAAATGATCGGCAGGCAGTTCATGACCGCATCTCTCGCCCCTGGAAAAATAATCCCCGCACGGTAGAAGTCATTTCCCCGTCTGACCATGGACACGACAGATGAAGGGTTTCATCCTTGAACTTTCCTAACAGGTCCTCCATGTATTGAAACCCATCGTCTCCACAAAACGGATCCGCATTCCTCAGCTTAAAGAGCACCTCGCGTGCAACCGTGTACGAGCACTCCACACGTAAAACCGCCCTAACATGACTCATCAACACATGAGGTCTCACATCGCCATGCTTTAGCATCTCACGCGCAACCTCTTTGACCTCATCCCTCCGAATCCTTGCAGCATCGGTGACACACCTATCGGCGTGATGCAAACTAGCCATCGTGACCCGCAGGTTACTATAGCGCGGTCCCCGTATGACAACACGGAATGGACACATCCCTTCTCCGATGTCCACCTCCCCACGAGGCCATACCTTGCCCTCCATGAATTTGCACCACACCTCAATGAGATTCGACCGATTATAGCGGAAATAGGGAGCAAACGTCTGCTGCCTACAGTACAACCGCACCTCCTCCCTTGCTGCTACAGCAGTTGGGTGGAGCTTCCCCTTGTAAATGTTGACAGCATCATCTTCCTGCACATCAAAATTGCTACAGGACCAAAAGATAACGGATGGAGGGATATCACACGGAAGTTTGCAAGTTATCGTATACAATTCTTGTTTGGAAATGAACGGGGGTTGATATTAACAATGCAGTTTAGCTTGTTTGATGGTTAACATGGGTATTCAACATCAACCCCTCACCTTGAACGTATGAGGCGAAACATGTTGTTCCTCACGACCGCCACAAGCTCTGTTGGACAATAAGACCATGCGGATATAAAGTGTAGTGTTGTGCATGAAAGAGAATGTAAGGGGGAAAATTGAGCGCCTTTCAAGAGTTAGGGGCATGATTAGGAGACAAGAGAGAATGTCACATAAAACGAACATTTCGTGTGAAATAGAGGGCCGCAAAGGGGACGGGTTGATGATGGGAGGAGATGGGGAAGAGTGTATGAGAGTGTATGAGAAGGGATGAGAGTGTATGAGAGTGTATATGAAAGTATATGGGAGGGTATGTGAGGGTATGAGACTCTCATAGAGTGTATGAGAGGGGATGAGAGGGGATGAGAGGAAATGAGAGTGGATGAGAGTGAATGGGAGTGTATGATAGGGGTTGAGAGTGTATGAGAGTGTAGGAGAGTGAATGAGAGTGGTTGAGAGTGTATGAGAGTGTATGTGAGGGGATGAGAGTGGATGAGAGGGGTTGAGAAGGAATGAGAGGGGATGAAAGGGGATGAGAGGGGATGAGAGGGGATGAGAGTGGATGAGAGGGAGTGAGAGGGGATGAAAGGGGATGAAAGGGGATGAGAGGGGATGAGAGGGGATGAGCGTGGATGAGAGGGAATGAGAGGGAATGGGAGGGAATGAGAGTGGATGAGAGTGAATGGGAGTGTATGATAGGGGTTGAGAGTATATGAGAGTGTAGGAGAGTGAATGAGAGTGGTTGAGAGTGTATGAGAGTGTATGTGAGGGGATGAGATGAGAGGGTATGAGAGTGGATGAGAGGGGTTGAGAAGGGATGAGAGGGGATGAGAGGGGATGAGAGGGGGTGAGAGTGGATGAGAGGGAATGAGAGTGTATGAGAGGGAATGAGAGTGTAAGTGAGGGGATGAGAGGGAATGAGAGTGTATGAGAGTGAATGGGAGTGTATGACAGGGGTTGAGAGTGTATGAGAGTGTAGGAGAGTGAATGAGAGTGTATGAGAGTGTATGTGAGGGGATGAGATGAGAGGGTATGAGAGTGGATGAGAGGGGTTGAGAAGGAATGAGAGGGGATGAGAGGGGATGAGAGGGGGTGAGAGTGGATGAGAGGGAACGATAGTGTATGAGAGGGAATGAGAGTGTATGTGAGGGGATGAGAGGGAATGAGAGGGGATGAAAGGGGATGAAAGGGGTTGAGAGGGAATGAGAGTGGATGAGAGGGAATGAGAGGGAATGAGAGGGAATGAGAGTGGATGAATGGGAATGAGAGGGAATGTGAGTGAATGAGTGAGTGAGAGGGGATGAAAGGGAATGAGAGTGTGTGAGGGGATGAGACGGGATGAGAGTGTACAAGAGTGTATGAGAGTATAAGAGAGTGGATGAGGAGGGATGAGAGTGTGTAAGAGTGGATGAGAGTGTATGAGAGGGGATGAGAGGGGATGAGAGGGGATGAGTGTGTATCAGAGTGTATGAGAGTGTATGAGAGGGAATGAGAGGGGATGAAAGGGGATGAAAGTGGATGAGAGGGGATGAAAGTGTGTGAGAGTGTATGGGAGTGTCTGTGAGGGAATGAGAGTGTGTGAGAGGGGATGAGAGGGGATGAGAGTGTATGAGTGTGGATGAGAGGGGATGAGAGGGTATGAGAGGGAATGAGAGGGGATGAGTGTGAATGAGAGGGGATGAGAGGGAATGGGAGTGTGTGTGAGGGGATGAGAGTGTATGAGAGTGTATGTGAGGGGATGAGAGTGTATGAGAGTGAATGAGAGGGGTTGAGAAGGGATGAGAGGGGATGAGAGGGGATGAGAGGGGATGAGAGTGTATCAGAGTGTATGAGAATGAATGAGAGGAGATGAGTGTATGAGAGTGTATGAGAGGGAATGAGAAGGGATGCAAGGGGATGATCGTGAATGAGAGGGGATGAAAGGGAATGAGAGTGTGTGAGGGGATGAAAGGTGATGAGAGTGTATCAGAGTGTATGAGAGTGTATGAGAGGGAATGAGAGGGGATGAAAGGGAATGAAAGTGAGGGGATGAAAGGGGATGAGAGTGTATCAGAGTGTAAGAGTGTATGAGAGGGAATGAGAGGGTATGAGAGGGGATGAAAGGGGATGAGAGGGGATGAGAGGAAATGAGAGGGAATGAGAGTGAATAAGAGGGGATGAGAGGGAATGAGAGGGAATGAGAGTGGATGAGTGGGAATGAGAGGGAATATGAGTGAATGAGAGTGAATGAGAGGGGATGAAAGGGAATGAGAGTGTGTGAGGGGATGAGAGTGTATCAGAGTCTATGAGAGTGGATGAGAGAGAATGAGAGGGGATGAGAGGGGCTGAAAGGGGATGAAAGGGGATGAGAGGGAATGAGAGTGGATGAGAGGGAATGAGAGGGAATGAGAGTGGATGAATAGGAATGAGAGGGAATATGAGTGAATGAGATTGAATGAGAGGGGATGAAAGGGAATGAGAGTGTGTGAGGGGATGAAAGGTGATGAGAGTGTATCAGAGTGTATGAGAGTGTATGAGAGGGAATGAGAGGGGATGAAAGGGAATGAAAGTGAGGGGATGAAATGGGATGAGAGTGTATCAGAGTGTGAGAGTGTATGAGAGTGTATGAGAGGGAATGAGAGGGGATGAAAGGGGATGAAAGGGGATGAGAGGGGATGAGAGGAAATGAGAGGGAATGAGAGTGAATAAGAGGGAATGAGAGGGAATGAGAGGGAATGAGAGTGGATGAGTGGGAATGAGAGGGAATATGAGTGAATGAGAGTGAATGAGAGGGGATGAAAGGGAATGAGAGTGTGTGAGGGGATGAGAGTGTATCAGAGTCTATGAGAGTGGATGAGAGAGAATGAGAGGGGATGAGAGGGGATGAGAGTGTATGAGAGTGTATGAGAGGGAATGAGGGGATGAAAGGGGATGAAAGTGGATGAGAGGGGATGAAAGTGTATGAGAGTGTATGAGAGGGAATGAGAGTGTATGAGTGTGGATGAGAGGGTATGAGAAGGAATGAGAGGGAATGAGAGTCAATGAGAGGGGATGAGAGTGTATGTGAGGGGATGAGAGTGAATGAGAGGGGTTGAGAAGGGATGAGAGGGGATGAGAGGGGAAGAGAGGGGATGAGAGTGTATCAGAGTGTATGAGAGTGAATGAGAGGGGATGAGATTGTATGAGAGTGTATGAGAGGGAATGAGAGGGGATGAAAGGGATGACCATGAATGAGAGGGGATGAGAGAGTATGAGAGGGAATGAGAGTGTATGAGAGGGAATGAGAGTGTATGTGAGGGGATGAGAGGGAATGAGAGGGGATGAAAGGGGATGAAAGGGGATGAGAGGGAATGAGAGTGGATGAGAGGGAATGAGAGGGAATGAGAGTGGATGAATGGGAATGAGAGGGAATATGAGTGAATGAGTGAGTGAGAGGGGATGAAAGGGAATGAGAGTGTGTGAAGGGATGAAAGGGGATGAGAGTGTATCAGAGTGTATCAGATTGTATGAGAGTGTATGAGAGGGAATGAGAGAGGATGAAAGGGGATGAAAGCAAATGAGAGGGGATGAAATTGAATGAGAGTGTATGAGAGTGTCTGTGAGGGAATGAGAGTGTGTGAGAGGGGATGAGAGGGGATGAGAGTGTATAAGTTTGGATGAGAGGGGATGAGAGTGTTTGAGAGGGTATGAGAGGGGATGAGAGTGTATCAAAGGGTATGAGAGTGAATGAGAGGGGATGAGAGGGGATGAGAGTAGATGAGAGGGTATGAGAGGGAATGAGAGTATATGAGAGTGGGTGAGAGGGATGGAGAGGGGATGAGTGTGTATGAGAGGGGGTGAGAGAGGGATGGAGAGGGGATGAGTGTGTATGAGAGGGGGTGAGAGAAAGATGGGTAGGAGACAAGAGAGCACGAGAGGGGAGGATAGCAGATGAGAGTTCATGGGAACCCTGGTCTCGGCGGTGGCCAGAGAGGCGCGACGCGCTGAGCGGCGGGCTGGCGGCTTGGCGTATCATGTTGGCGGATTGTCGTGATGCGCCCAGCAGGGTGGCCTCATTGCGCATTGCGACGGCGGCGGCCCGGTCGGCGCGATGCGCGTTGCGGCCCGAAGCTGGCCGCAATGCGCATCGCGGCGGCGGCTGCTCCTGATCGTCTCGATGCATCTCGCGACGATCAGGCCCGATCGGTGCGATGCGCAGAGCGGCGCGCCGGCCGCTGGGCGCATCGCGACAGCGGTCTGATCGATTGTTTTATATGTATTAGTAGTATTTTTTGAGTAACAAGGGACTAAACGTGAACGGATGGGAAAAGGCTTTTGGGCTAAGGCACGCACCGTTGATAGACGTCAGGTGTTGCTAACGAACGCCTTGGATGCGTGACGGGGAAGACAGCTGGCGAAAGCTATAGATACTAGTAATAGCGTGAGTAATAGCTGATGGCGGGAAGTAAGTTGGAGAGATGCGCTGGGATCAAGGTTGCGTACTTGGTTGGAACCGTAGCGAGAAGGGGGGTGTACAGCACGTCGGATCGTGGTGTGGTTACCGTGGGCTACAGGCTCGACGGTACAGGCGTGCATCAAACCTCTCCGCACGAGTTGGCGCGAGCGGGAAATCGGCCTGGTTTCAGGAATTTCTGGTGGGAGTTTCATGTATTACCATTCGCGTGATTTTTCACCTGTTGTTAGTGACTGAATCCGTGACCCCACTTACCAAGCCCGTCAGGATACTCGATACAGTTACCGTACGCATTTTGTTTTTACCATTGACGTTATCGGGTCACATGATGGTTACTTGTGGCATATTTTCCCCCAAAACTGTTACTGAAATGAGATTGTTGAGGGGAGAATATGCCACAAGTAACCAACTTGGAACTCGATAACGTGAATGGTAAAAAAAACGCGTACGGTCACTGTATCGGGTTTTCTGACGGGTTTGGTAAGCGGGGTCACGGATTCAGTCACTAACAACAGGTAAAAAATCACGCGAATGGTCACACATGTAACTCCCGCCAAAAAAACTTGAAACTCAACAAAATTCCCGCTCGCGCCCAATTAATCTGCGAACTTGTAAAAAAACTAAAACGTAATCGGAATCGGATGCGGTTTGGGAACGGATCAACCCTAAACACCTGGCGAGTTACGTGTTTAGGGTTGATCATCCGAAAATGCATCCAGGTTCTTTCTGGGTTTCATTTTGTTTTGGCGGGAGTTTCATCTGTGACCATTCGCGTTTTTTTTTACCACCTGATTGTGACTGATTCCGTGACACGCTTTATCAGTCGCGTGAAAACGCCCTTTGCAGTGACCGTACCCTTTATTTTTTTACCAAAAATGTTTTCGAGTCCCATGATGGTTACGAACAGCATATTTTCCCGATTGTTGAGTCTAGGCCACACTCCTGGCGGGAAACCAATTATTTGAAGGCCCACCCATCCATCCCATCCCCCATCCCGTCACCGCCAGCATCGCCTCATCAAACATCCAAGGCAGAACCACGGAGCTTCGAAGCAGTTCACCAGAACTCACCAACTAAGCCAGTCGCAGGACAGCACACCAAATCTGCGGTCGCAGTTACCGCAGATCACGCTGGCAAACTCTGCCGACAGTCGGCGATGTGTCGGAATGACACGACGGCTGCAAGAGTTGACGTTTTGTCATCGCTGACAAATTGGTTCTTGACGGGAAGTGGCGAAGCTGGCTGTTCCAACAGCTGCAAACGAGACGCCCATCTACACCGAACCGTCAATTCCAAACGACAACACAGACGACGACGGGCAACTCTGCCGGGGTACTCTCGTTTCCCTCCAAGTGACAAGACAACTTCTCAGATCCCCCTACTCCCTATTCAGGAAAAGTGATCAGTCTCTCGTATCCAAACCACGTCACCTTTCCCGCCAGACCTCGCATCACACTTCATCCTGCTTCAACGTATTCAAGCCTACTCCACCGCTTTACTTTCCTACATCCCACATCAACTTTTCCAGTGTCTCGAACCTACTCGGCACGCATGCATGGCGAAGTATGTCAACCTGCTTTTCCAGTTTTTTTTTAGTCCCAAATCCCAATGACGTTCTGCTCAATTGACCAGTCACGTCACATCAGTTACAGTACTCACCACACTGAGATGCTAGCTGGTTCCTTCTTCCCTGTCCCAAACCGACTGACTCCGCAAAATCCGGGGAAATGACTCCCAAATGCTGGTGGACATCCTTTCTATCCTAGCCGCGACAGTCCGTCAGTCTCGCACATCCTCCGTTTCGCTGATGCTGACAGTCACCCCTTAGAGGACTTGGCATTGAGTTATTCAACCTTGTAGATGGCTAGGATGACTTTACCTACGTGGTACAAGGATCAGAATGGAGATTCAGAGCTCCGGCGTTCTTCTTCGCAGAAGGAGCGTAACTCGTTCGCGAAGTTTTCGCCAGCTAGGATGATGGCAGAAGTCAGATTTCCAGAGGTTAAAGTCCCAAACGTTCGCATTCCTGACGTTAGACTCCTACAGGTCAAACGCTCGGAAGCTAAGATGACTGAACAGAAGAATTCTGATGTAGCTGATAGTTCTCAAATGTCAACCCTAGACTTCGTTTCCAAAGCCACGTCAGGTGAGTGAGCAGGCCTTTAGTTAGTTAACTTAGCTCCGTCGCTCGCGAGCTTCATAGTTTGTTTCAGGTCGTTCACTGACAGAGGTAAATATCTCTGGATGCAGCCTTTCAAGTAGCAACTACCAAGGCCAAGCGCGCCTTCACGGATTTAAGACGCGACGCACCTCCGTCTGAAGCTCCCGTTCCGTCTAGCCTTCCGACATCCCCACCAACACCCCCGCAGCCTTCTCATGGTGCTTAACTACCTTAGTTTCTGTCCTCCTAACTCAGAAGAATGATACAGTAGGTTCATTCTACTTTGTAGTGCTTCATGAAAACGTTCGCTAAGAGCTCGGCCGTTGGAATGTGCAGGGTGGGGTTATCCGTGGTTGCTCAAGGCAAGCCCCAAGACCAGCCACTCGGAAGAACTCAGCAGAAGAGTCGCTGAGCTGTCAAAGGTATATGACTGGATAGGCCGTTCTGTCCTTTTTGTTCTGTTTAGGGCTGCTCGTTGGTGTGTGTGGGTTTTTTTTCTTTTTCCTAAGTCATTTTCATTACGTAGTCGTTTGACCTAAATGTAAGGATACGTTCTGATACCACCAGGAACCGCAAAAGTTTCTCATGGTGGGGGTTTCAGACGACCGCGCCGAGCACTACGTGAATCTTGAGAGCGCGCTGCTTTCTGCTCCAGCTATTCTCGAGGTAGTACCTTTAAAAAACCCATGACCATCAGAAAGTTCATTGATCTCCGACACCCTTTTGTTTTTGGACCTTACTGTCCGTATCTCGTGGTTCGTTCGATCGCTCTGTGATCCTTTCTTCTCTCAGTTTCCAAATTTCGAGACTTCTTAAACTCCCCGATTCCGTTTTGTCCCTACGTTCATTCAGGCGGACGATCACCTGAGCAGAATCTTTTCGGAATTCGTGCCTCGGCTGGTCTCGGAGCGGGAGTTTTGGAAGCGGTATTTCTACGTGGTGGCGAAGGTGGAGCTCGAATTAGAGCACGAGGAGGACTGGGGTGCTGCGGACCCTTCTCCCCTCGGCTCCCCTGCCAGTGTGGGATCGCACGGACGGCTTTTCTCGCTTCCCATGTGGCATCCTAAGGAACGGGTACGTATACCAGCTTGAGAGGCGCCTAAAAGATTCAAAAGAAACAGTAAGCCCTTGAAATCGGTAAGTGGAAACTAACGACAGCGCTTATAACAATTATCGGGAGTTAGCAGAAATATATACTATATTGACGAACTGTACTGTACTGTATGTACTGTACTGCATTCACAGGACCTGAATGGCAGCACCTGCAGCACAACGACGAGCGTGTGCAGCTTTGGAAACGTTGACCCGCCGAATATTCCATCCTCTGTGCTCCTGCGCAATCTCGCCCAGGCTGTCAGGTCCGTTGGTCCTCACGAAACCACCATGTGCCACCATCTACCACCACCATCAACCGTAGTGATTCCACCTTGCTTAGCCGCGGATATGGTTAAGTATTTGGAACCCGTTACAACCTGTTGAGTATCCAAATCCGCATTGTTTTGAGGGACCCCGTTACATCCTGTAAGGCAACCCTAATGCCTCCATAACGTTAACGTTATCTTCTGTGCACGCAGCTACTCTGCTCCGTTTGCGACGCTCAAGGACCTGGTGGCCCACAACGGCAAGTGGCCGGGGACCGCACTCGCACAGGCTGTGGGAGCTGGCATTGGTCGAGCCTTCTCCCTCTCCTCTATATCGAATGTGAACGATGTTGACAGCACAGATGACATGATTCAAAGACTCCTAAGCTCAGGTTGGTACCAAGGAATCAATTTGTTTCTATTAATCTTTGAGTCGATTTTGAGAGTTCCCAGAAGTCCAGGTCAATCTGATATATTGTCCATCAGGAAACCTTTATTTGCTGCCTGCGTTGCCATTGAACACACACTTGACCTGCGAACGTGTTCCTGCCTTCGATATCAGGCCAGTGTCATGCATGCATCTCTTTCGAGATGCTACTTTCAAAAGTGATGCAAGCACATCCCACTCACGGCCGACGAACGTGCTCTGGCCTTGATATCAGACCAGTCACCAGAGTCTGAATGAGAGCAGCCCCCCCCCCCTCCCCCACCCCTCACACCCCGCGTCCCCACCTCCATAATGCAGTCAGGTACCAGCATCTATACAAACACGGTTCTGGATGATGTTTATCTTTGTGTGTTATTTCCAACGACAGGAGAAGAGGCCGCCTTTGATTGCAGCTGCGACACCTTCAGCAGCGGTAGCAGCAGCAGTGGCGGCGCGAGCAACAGCAAGCCCTTGCAGGAAAAGCCGAGCGACGCCGCCCCGTCAGCAGCGACCGCCCTGGTGCACTCAGTGCACGGGGCATACCCGGACAGCTTCGTGGCGCAGGTGGCGGCGCTCATGGCTGAACTACCCTCGGAAAAAGACATGGCGCAGCTGTGGCTGGCGCTCGTAGAACAGGTGAGCTTCCATGTGCTGGTGGAGCAGGTGAGCTGCCAGTTGCTGGTGGAGCAGGTGAGCTGCCAGTTGCTGGTGGAGCAGGTGAGCTGCCAGTTGCTGGTGGAGCAGGTGAGCTGCCAGTTGCTGGTGGAGCAGGTGAGCTGCCAGTTGCTGGTGGAGCAGGTGAGCTTCCAGGTGCTGGTGGACTAGGTGAGCTTCCATGTGCTGGTGGAGCAGGTGAGCTGCCAGGTGCTGGTGGACTAGGTGAGCGGCTGGGTCGACTCTGGCTTAAGGCAGATTTGAGAGGCGCGCTGATGGCGGAGCTGCCTTTGGAGAAGGCCATGGCGCAGCTGTGGCTGGCGCTCCTGGAGCAGGTGGGTGAGCTCTCAGAGCTATTTTTGAGGCGACTATAAATACTGGTGGGGAATGAGGGCTGGGGGGAGGCTGGCTGGCGGATGGGGAGGAGAAGGTGAGCTGCTGGAATCACTTGGCGCTCATGGCAGAGCTGCCTTCGGAAAAATACATCTGCATGCTGCCCTGATGGCTGTTCCTATCGGATGCTAGTTCTCTCTGAAGTTGTCCCCCATCTCTTGTGTTGCCCTTCCCTTTTGCCATCTCTTGTGGCGTTTCCGTGCGGTTCTTTCCTTGCAGCCACTGGTACGGTGGAAGCGGGAGTGCTAGCGCAGTGCAGGTGCAAAGCCACCGGTTTTGATGTGTAGGTGGACCTGAGAGAGTGGCTGCTTCACTTGTGGCGCAAGCAAGGCCATCCCTTCATCCCTTTCTGATGTTTTTTCTTCCCTTTTGTCCTCTCCCCTCGCGTTCCCTTGCAGCTGCGGGTGCGGTGGAAGCAGGGGGTGCCGGTGCCGCACGTGGGGGCGGGCAGGGGCGGGCCGGACCTGCGGCTGTGCGAGGTGATGCAGCACCTGCAGCTGCTCAATTGCTGCATCGCCCGCCAACGCAGACGCAAAGCCATTGGGTTTGCATGCAAACTCCCAGGCTCAGCAGCAGCAGGATCAGGTGCTGGTGGTGGTGGTGGTGGTGGTGGTGGTGTGGTTAGGGGTAGCAACAGGAAGATCAGGGAAACGCTGTCAGAAGGTGTTGCTGGTGCTTCCAATCGTTGTAATGCTTCAGGGGACGCTGTTGCTGCAGTGAGAAGCACGAGTTTTGGTGTCGACGTGTGCGTAGGAGGAGCAGAGGAGCAGAGCAGAGGAGAGGAGACACTGGAAGCACTTGGAGCAAGAGATGCAGATACCGAAATTGCAAATTGCAGCAGTGAAGGCACATGCGACGTGCCTGAAGCCGGGGGCATGGAACCCTGTGATTGTGTCACAAAACCACCGGAGGAGGTTCACACAGTAGCAGCAGCAGCAGCAGCAGCAGCAGGAGCAGCTGGTGACGACGTGGCATCTGGGGCGGTCAGAAGTGCGAGTGTGCGTGCAGGGGATGATGAGCTGGCAGTGGGGCCATGCTGGAATCGAGACTGTCCAGGTCAGCACCTGTTCCTGTGTGACACGTGCTCTCTGCCTTGTGTGAATCACCCGCCAGGGGAGCATGCTGGGCAGGAAGGCAGCAGAGCAGAAGCAGAAGCTGCGCCAGGCGCAGCGGCAGGGGCAGCGGCAGGGGCAGCAGCAGCAGCAGAGTATCACCTAGATGCATGCTATGCGCGGGTGCAATCAGGGAGGCGTGTGCTACGGAGAGGCGTGAAGGAGCAGTCGAAGAGCCTGCAGTTGCTGGAGACAGGCGAGCCGCTGTGCATCCCTGTGACTCAGGACGGGCCGCTGATGACCGAGTCGAGTGTGCGGGAGAGCGAGGAGCTTATAATGCGTACGAAGAGGTGAGTCGGAGAAGCTAGTAACGCGTATAAGTGGGTAAAGGAGCCCCTGTGCGTCCCCTGTCAGTCAGGACGGACCACTGATGACCATATCGAGTGTGCGGGAGAGGCAAGGAGCTTATCATCCTTATTATGTGTACCAAGAAATGGGTGTGAGCATATGCGTGCCCGGAATTACAGCTCATGTCAGCCTTCCTTTGTGTGCATCATGCGTGGTTGTGCCTTGTGCAGCTTTGGGACTGGTCACAAGCAGCTCTTCTCAGACATGCAATCCTTCAAGGTGAGCAGCAGTGCAGTGGGGCAAGGCAAACCCAAGTATTCAGGGTGAAACGTGCAAAGCAGAGAGCCCTAATGCGTGGTGGACTCATGCAAGGAAATAAGTGCGCTTTGCTTTCAGTGTTTCAGCTGAAGCAAGTGACTTTCGTGCCGTATTGTGTCCCTGCCCCCTCTCATGCCGTGCCTCCTCTTTCTCTCCCCTTCTCCCTTTCATCCAACCCGTTTCCCCCCACACAGGCAGCCAACCCTGGGTGTGTTTTGGAGGACTTGATTCGCTGGTACTCGTCGCCTGACTGGCCGCCACTCGCGTTCTCATGCCCTCCTCCTCGTCTCTCCCTCCCCCGCTCCATGCATGCACCATGTTTATCCCGCAGGCGGCCAACCCTGGATGTGTCTTGGAGGACTTTGTTCGCTGGTACTCGCCCCCTGACTGGTCGCCACTCCCCCAGTCGCCCTCCCTCCACTCGCCCTCCGTTCACTCGCCCTCTCCCCATACACCGTCCACGAAACCTCCCACTGTACAAACGCCCACTCTCAACTCACCCTCCTCCTCCTACACTGGTGAACTCGCTCCAGAAGCAAAGACTCCCTGTGCTGCTAATTGTGCCTCATCCTCTGCCGCTCCCTGTGCCGCGACTCACGGCCGAGAGAGGGTGGGCCAGGCAGGGTGTGCTACAGGAGGGAGAATCGATTGTACACCCAAAAAGACGGGGTACCTCAGCGTGCGGATGAAAGCTTCTGGTCAGTAAATTAGCTGTGTCTATTGCTCCACCCTCATTTTCAAGTAGTAGCTCTGCCCTTGTTGTCAACCTATTGTAGTCTCACAAGAAGCCTTGCTTTGATGTGCCTGGCAGATAACCTGTGGCAGCAGCTGTGGAACCGCGCTCGACCGCTGCCCATTGCTCTCCAACCCCCCTTGGTGGACTATGACTATGCTGCGTAAGCCGCCCTGCTCCCTTCCTTCACACACTGGTTGGGTAGTGCTCTCGTCACTCCTGCCTCTGCGCATGCTCTCTCTGCTATTTTGGCTGCTTATCATCTCCTTTCTCTCCAATCCCTCTTTTCTTCCTCTCCCCTCCTCCCCTCCTCCCCTCCTCCCCTCCTCCCCTCCTCCCCTCCTCCCCTCCTCCAGGGATAAGAGCCTTACCTGGCTGGAGAGCATCCCCCCATCGCACCTGTTTACAGAGCTCTTCACCGTGCTCATTGCCGTTGGCTTCTCTGCTGCTGCCTCAGCATACCACACTCCCCCCACCTCCTCCTCCTCTTCTCTCCCTGCAAAGCGGGATGGCTGGGTGCGTGTCAACGGTGTTGACAGTGCAGCAGCAGCAGGGCAGGGGGAGGAGGAGGAATGGGAGGAAGGGGGGGAGGATGGGGAAGAGGAGGCGTGTGCACAGGCAGCAGCGGACGGGCACATCAGAGCCCGCGTGGCGGAGTGCTGCCGCTACGTGGCTGGCGCGTGCACAAGGGGAATGAGCGAGGACAAGATGACCAACGTGTGCCTTGTGAGTAGTGTGAAGCTGGATTGCCTGCACTTTCTGTCCAGCTGTCTTGTGCTACGTCCACAATAAGATGGTCCAGTCCTGATAAATAACCAGATTTAGTGGTGGGGCCACCGCTTAGTCTTAGCCTCCAATGTTTGCACAACCGTACCCCTTCCTTCTCTCTTACGGCAGGTATACGAGATGATGGAGGATATAGTGGTGGGGCCACAAGCCAAGGCGCAGCTTCCCAGGGCCAACACGTCAGCCTCTCAAGACGGCCAACCCGTGTCCACTCTCAAGCCATCGCTCCTGCAGCAGTGGCAGCAGTGGCACTCCAAACCCTCCACCAAACCCCACGACAACCACAACCACCACCACCCGTCCAACGACGCTCACACGATCGACCCTCTCCCAGAAAACGCCCTTCTGAGCAACCCTCAACCAAACGACCCTCATCATATCGACACTCACCAAAACGACGAGGATGACAATCACGCGTGCTCCGACTCAGAGCCATACGACACACGAAGCCTCTCCGATGCTTCGTGCGCCACAGGCGGATTTTCTCCTGAGCCCAGCACGTCTCCTCGCATCCACCCCCCCGCCAACACGCCTGCTCGTAGGTTCTCCCTCCTGGGAGCTGGATCAAGCTTCCCTTCGTTTCCCACGGCGAGTTTCCCCACAAGCCCTATGTTTGGATCTATTGACCTATCTTCCCTCCATCAGCACCAGCAACAGCCACCCCAGCAGCAGCAGCAGCAGCAGCAGCAGCAGGTGCTAGAAGAGGGTTTGGCGGTTCAAAAGGGTGCCGTAGAGCCTGTGACTGCTCAGCTTTCTGCCTCGTCGAGTTTCGTTAACCGTGTGGCAATGTGGGCTGGGCTTGGCGCCGCAGGGAGTGGGAGAGGGCTGGTGGGGGAGCAGGCAAGCACACAGGAGCAGGAGGAGGTGCAGCAGCAGCAGGTGCAGGAGCAGGTGCAGGTGCAGCAGCAGGTGCAGCAGCAGGTGCAGCAGCAGCAAGAAGAGGAGTCGCTGGTAATTACTGTCTCTATGAACAGTGGTCTTGAAGCTGCTGCCGCTGCTGCGGCCGCTGCCACCGATGCTGACGCCGCTGGTGTTGTGGCTGCAAATGGTGCTGCTGCTGATGAACCTTCCCTGCAGGCGCATGAAGAGACTGAGGGAAGAGAGAACGGGGGAAAAGATGCTAAGGAGGAGCGTAATGATGAAGGCGATTGTGAGAATGTCAAGTGCAACAGACCAATGACTGCACCTGCTGGTGGTGTGAGCTTTAGAGGGTTCCGGAGGGTGGACATGACAAGTATCAGCAGCATCAGCAGTATGAGTATCAGTAGTATGAGCAGCAGGAGTAACATCAGCAACAGCAGCAGCGTCGGCAGCAGCAGCAAAAGGGAGGAGCAGGAGCAAGGGGAGAGGAAGAAGGCTGGGATTCTTGGTCTGCGGTATGGCTGGGTGGTTGTGTAATCTTGCCAAGTGAAGCTGCCACGTTCTTTCATATGCAAGGATGCAATTTTGATTCGTCTCTAAAATGGTCTGCGGTATGGCTGGGTTGTGGTGTGATCTTGCCAATGAAAGCTGCTAAAGTTCCATTGTGCTGTCTGTGTGTTCACAAGAATTGCTCTCCAAGAATGGTGTTGCAAGCGGCTTTGAAACAGTTGCATATACGACTGAATCTTTCATCAGTGCCACCTAGCGTCACTTAGGTCGGTGACCCGATAAGCATAACTGTCAATAGTTTATCTTGCTCAGCCTTTAAACGGCAACACAGCAGTTATGTTTCAAATCTGACAGTTTCACACTTCCTGCAGCCAAAACAAAGGCATTCACAATCAAGGTTAGTTAATTCATCCCATCTCATCCTGTCCATACCCTCACATCTTACTTATCAAATTGAGTGTACTTAGCACGTCACTCATCTCTGGACGGGGCTCTGTGTTCACATTTATGCACGCGCGGGCAAGCGCGAAAAACTTTCTCCCACCCTTGTCCGAATACCCGTCTTTTATTCTCGCGTCAACTATCGATGGGTTGTAGACCTTTGATTCCTCCCACACCCACTGCGCCAAGCTGCCACTGTCGCTGTCTGTGGCATGCCGGCCCGTCAGCAGCTCCAGCAACACTACTCCAAACGCATACACGTCAGACTTCACCGTCAACCGACCTGAGGGGAAGTGGAAGGGAAGGGGGAACAGGAGAAGCGCGGAAGGGAGGGAGGTTAAAAGGGTCACACTATCATGGTAAGCAGCTCCAGCAGCTCCACTCTAAACGCATACACACGTCTGATTTCACCGTCAGCCGACTTGAGGAGAAGGGGGTTGGGGAGCCGGGAGGGAGGTTGTAAGGGAGGAAGGTTGTAAGGGAGGAAGTTTGGCTCCAATATCATAGTCAGCAGCAGCTCAGCAGCACCACTTCGAACGCATACACATCAGACTTCACCGTCAGCCGACCTGAGGGAAGGGAGATGGGAGGTGAACAGGGAACAGGGAACAGGGAAGAAAGTGGATGAGCAAACAGGGAGAGGAGGAGATGGGAAAAGGGAAGAGGGAGAATCAGGTGTGGATGGGGTGTACACTTCTGACTCCTCCCACATTCAAAGCGCGCCCAGCTGCCACTGTCGCTGTCCGTCCGCCGGCCGGTCAGCAACTGTAGCAACACCACTCCAAACGCATAGACGTCCAATTTCACAGTCAAGCGACCCGAGGGGAGGAGAGACGGGGTTGAGAGTGGGAGGGAGAGGGGTAGGGAGGGAGGTCGGAAGGTTCCCACTACCAGCGTAGGCAGCAGCTCCAGCAACGCCACTCCAAATGCATACAGGTCAGACTTCACATCAGGCGACCTGCGGAGGAAGGGGAGAATGGAGGGAAGGGAGGGAGTGGGGGAGGTTGTAACGGCTGCACAATCATTGTAAGCAGCACCTAAAGCAGCACCACGCATACACTGTAACGCCAGACTCCTCCCACACCCACTGCGCCAAGCTGCCACTGTCGCTGTCTGTGGAATGCCGACCGGTTAGAAGGTCTAGCTGCACCACCCCAAACGCATAGATATCCGATTTCACCGTGCGACGACCTGAGGAGAAAGGGAGAAGAGAGGGAGGTTTACAGGGGTTGTGTGTCAAGGGGGGGAGGAGAGGGGAGGGGAAGGGGGCGAGGGGAACAGGGAGAAGGGAAGAGCGGGAAGGAGAAGAGGGAGCGTCAATTATGGATGGGGTGTAGACTTTTTGAATCCTCCCACACCCACTGCGCCAAGCTGCCACTGTCGCTGTCTGTCGCATGCCTGCCAGTCGGCAGCTCTAGCTGGACCACCCCAAAGGCATAGACATCCGATTTCACCGTCAGCCGATGTGCCAAGGGAGGGGACAAGGGAGGGAAGAGAGGGAGGGTTGGGAGGTTGTAAGGGTTGCACAATCACTGTAAGCAGGGTGTTTTTGAGAATTCTCAAACAGGGTGTGTAAGCACCCTGCAGCAGCACGGGTTGCACAATCACTGTAAGCAGCAGCTCCAGCAGCACCGCCCCAAAGGCATACACATCAGACTTCACCGTCAGGCGACCTGGAGGGGAAGAACGGAGGGGGGGAGAAGAGGAGGGAGGTTGATTCTTCACAGCTCAGCAACATCTCCAGCAGCACCACCCCAGAGGCATACACATCAGACTTCACTGTCAGGCGACCTGGAGGGGAAGAGGGGGAAGAGGGGGGACAGGGAGGGAGGGGACGGAGGGAGACTGTAAGGGCCGCACAACCAGTGTAAGCAGCAGGTCTAAGAGCACCACCTCAGAAGCGTACACGTCAGAATTCACTGTCAGCAGTCCTGAAGGGAAAGAAGGGGAGGTTGGGGGGGAGCAAGCGGGGAAGGGAGGGAGGGAGGTCATAAGGGAACCACAGTCACTGTATGCAGCAGTTGTAGCAGCACCACTCCAAACGCATACACGTCCGATTTCACGCAGTTGTAGGGAGGAAGGGGGGGAGGGTGGAAGCGAGGAAGGAAGGAAGGAAGGAAGGAAGGAAGGAAGGAAGGAAGGAAGGAAGGAAGGAAGGAAGGAAGGAAGGAAGGGAGGGAGGAAGGAAGGAAGGAAGGAAGAAGGGAATGAAGGTTTCTACTACCGTTGTAGGCAGGAGCTCAGCAACTGTTGAGGCGCTTCAAAAGGCAGCAGCTCAGCAGCCATTGCATACGGGTACAAAGCAATCTCTCACCTCTCTCCATGTAAGCAGGGTCGATGTACCCTGGTGTGCCCTTCACCTTGGTCTCAACGTAGCTCTCATCCCCCACTGGGCCCACCTTTGCCAGCCCAAAGTCGCTCACTTTGGCCACCAGGTTCTGAGGGAGAGGGAGAAAGGGAGGGAGGAAGCAAAGTGAAGAAAGTTGCATATTTGTCAACTCACAAGCCACCTATGACTCCCCACCGGCCCACCTTTGCCAGCCCAAAGTCGCTCACTTTTGCCACCAGGTTCTGAAAGAGGGGGGGAGAAAGGAGGGGAGAAAACGAGATGAAGGAAGCAAGAGAGAGAGAGAGAGAGAGAGAGAGAGAGAGAGAGAGAGAGAGAGAGAGAGAGAGAGAGGAACCTAATCGACTCAATAGCCACCTCTGATCCCCCACTGGGCCCCACCTTTGCCAGCCCAAAGTCGCTCACTTTTGCCACCGAGTTCTGAGGGAGAGGGAGAGAGGGAAAGGGGGAGAGAGGGAGAGAGGGAGAGGAGGAGCACAAAGAAGGGAGATACTGTTTAATCAACTCACAACAAGCCATTTATGACTATGACGCCCCATCGGCCACCTTTGCCGGCCGGACCAAAGCAAACCCCTCTGACAACAAATTGCTGAACGAGGGGGAGAGAAAGGAACGGAGTGAGTGAATGAGTAGGAAAAAAAAAACTTTGCCAGGACTCGAACAAAACTGTATCATACTTATGAGCGTATCACACATGGCTGCATGCATGGTTAAATATATGTACATCCATGAAATAGTTATATCCGGTGTTGGACGATTTTAAATACTACTCACATCGTCAAGCAGGATATTGGAGGACTTGATGTCAACCGATTTGAAATCCCGGTGACTAATGCTCCTCACGTGCAGATGGTGCAGCCCTGCTGCCGCCCCACCCCTCTCCCAGCCCTCCCCCCCCTCCCCCTCTTCCCCTTGTGCGTCAGATGGCATGAATGACACACGAATTGAAATCCCGGTGAATAATGTTATGTTCCTCTCGTGCAGATGGTGCAGCTTGATAGACGCATCATATACACACACAACACACGCGTGCATATGCGCAATCACACCACTCGCACACACCGCTCTCTAACACCACCCACTAACATCATCAAGCAGGATGTTGGACGATTTGAAATCCCGGTGAATAATGTTTCTCTCGTGCAGATGGTGCAGCCCTGTTGCCGCTCCCACGGCTATCTGCACCCGCTGCTGCCACGACAGGGGAATCACATTGTCGGCTGCTGTTGTTCAAACAAACAGGGTGGGGAGAAAAAGGAGTGCAGAATCAGGGAGTCTGAAGGGAAGGGCTGTAACAGCCAACCCCAGCCCCCACGGCTATTTGCACCCGCTGCTGCCACGAGAGGGGGATCACATTGTCGGCCGCTTGTGGTTCAGACAGACAGGGTGGGTGAAGAAGCAGGGGCGGAGAATCAGTAAGCGATGGGGCGATAGCAGCCCCGTTGCAGCCCCAACGGCCATCTGCACCCGCTGGTGCCATGACAGGGGAATCACAATGTCAGCAGCTGAGGCGATTACAGGAAAACGGGTGGGAAGGTGGAAGAGGAAGAGGGTTATAATAACAGCCACACTGGCCCGAATAGAACCCTCCCATCCCATCTCGCCATGAGCGCAAACATAAAGGGTTCTTAGCCGACTCACAGGTTACCCACTCACTGGAAAACAGATGGTAGTTGAAGGCTCCTTTCGAGACGTATTCATACACCAGGAATGCCATTTCGCCGTGAGCGAACACACAGGGTCCTTAGCCGACTCACAGCCACAGGTAGGTCAGTAGGGAGGGGGGACCCGGGGGGCTTACTCGAAAACAGATGGTAGTTGAGGGCTCCTTTCGAGACGTATTCATACACCAGGAATGCCATTTCGCCGTGAGCGAACACACAGGGTCCTTAGCCGACTCACAGCCACAGGTAGGTCAGTAGGGAGGGGGGACCCGGGGGGCTTACTCGAAAACAGATGGTAGTTGAGGGCTCCTTTCGAGACGTATTCATACACCAGGAATGCCATTTCGCAGTGAGCACAGTAACCGCGCAGGTGAGATGCACACACGCAGGGTCTTTGGCCGACCAACAGGTGAGGCAGTAGGGGAAGGGGAGGGGGGCAAGGGAGGTGGTAACCACTCACTGGAGAAGAGGTGGTAATTGAGGGCTCCTTTAGAGACGTATTCATACACCAGGAATGCCATTTCGCCGTGAGCGCAGTAACCGCGAAGGCTGACGAGGTTGGGGTGGGAGAGACGCTCCAACATCAGCACCTCCGTCTGAGCAAGGACAGAGGGGAAGGGAGAGAGCAAATGCTGTCGATCATCCACCTGCCTGGGAGGAAATGGCAGAGTGACCAGGCTGGGTGGGAGAGGCACTCCAACATCAGCACTTCCATCTGAGAAACCAAGATTTAAGGTTTGCCAGGAAAGGGGGGAGGGAGAAGTGAGGGCGGCGGGGGGGGGGGGAGAAGGAAGTCGGGGGAGGGTGGGGCGGGGTTAGGAGGACGAGACAAACCCATCTCGCCGTGAGCGCAGTACTTTTGAGAACTGACTAGGCTGGGGTGGGAGAGGCGCTCTAGCACCAGCACTTCCGTCTGAGAAACACAAGATTAAGCAGCAGCAAGAATGGCGGGGGTAAGGGGTAAGGGCTTGAGAGGGATAAGAGCGGAAGAATTCAGGTTTTTGCCGTGAGCGCAGTAGCCTCGCAGATGGCGAGGTTGGGGTGGGAGAGGCGCTCTAGCATCAGCACTTCCATCTGAGCCAGGAGGAGAGGGGGACCGCGGAGGGGAGGTATAATAAGTAAGGCGATGAAGAGACTGACGAGGTTGGGGTGGGAGAGGCGCTATAGCATCAGAACCTCCATCTAGAAAGGACGACCCGAGGTGTAGTAGGGGGGGGGGGGGGGGGGGAGGGTTGGGAGCGGGGAGTGGTGTGGGGAGAGGGGAAGGTCTGAAGAGGAGATGGCAGACTGACGAGCTTGGGGTAGGAGAGACGCTGCAGAAATCGTTCAGGGGGAAAGGGAAAAGGGAAGGGGGAAGGGGTACGATAGAATTGTGCCTGATCTATCCGCACTTTGTAGACAGACCAGGTTGAGGGAAGGGGGGGGGGGGGGGGGGTACGATAGAATTGTGCTGACTTTTGAGTCGACTCAAAAGTCAGGAAGGGGGGAGGCGTACAATAGAATTGTGCCTGATCTATCCGCACTTTGTAGACAGACCAGGTTGAGGGAAGGGGGGAGCCAAAGAGATCGACTCTGATAGTAAACTAAAGTTAATAAACCACAGTATAAACTAAGATAATGACCACGAGAATAAACTATGATACTCACCACCCATTCCCGGTAACCGCTCGTCTTCCCAGAACTATTCAGCACTTTAATCGCCACTGCCTGTCCCGCAACCGCCACCGCCCCACCCTCCCCCTTCCCCTCTCCGCCGTCCCCATTCTCCTCCCCCTTGCCTCCGCGAATCACGGCCTTGTAGACCTTCCCGAATCCACCTTCGCCCAGCACAGCTGATTGGTCGAAGTTGTTAGTTGCTGCTAATAGCACCTCGTACTTGAACTCCTGTGGTAGTGACACGTGGAGTGTGGCTTCTAAGGGAACGGGGGAGGGGTCGTGGGGAAGAAACGGGGGCGGGGTGAGGTGGGGGGAAGGGGAAGGGGGAGAAGGGGAAGGGGGAGAAGGGGAAGGAGAGGGTGAGGAAACAATATATACAAGGACCTAGAGAATAGAGGGATGGGTAGTGATGACACGTAGTAGTGACACGTAATCTGTGGCTTTTGAAGGGATGGGAAGTGGTGGAGGGGGGGGGGGGGGGGAGGGAAGGGGGGATGGGGAGGGGGAGGGGAAGGGGGGGGAGGGGGAGGGGGAAAGAGGGAACGGGGCGTGGGGAAGGGGAAGGGGGGTTAAGAATGCAGGCCCTACGAGACGAGACATGTGTAGTGTGGCTTCTGAGGGAACGGAGGGGGGGGAGGGGATAGGGGCGGGTGGGGGGGTAATTGGGAAAGGGACGTCATATAGCCGCGCATACGCATCATATGGACGCGCAAAAACGGCATATACACGCGCATAAACGGCATATACACGCGCATAAACGGCATATACACGCGCATAAACGGCATATACACGCGCATAAACGGCATATACACGCGCATAAACGGCATACTGAAACGCACAGGCCCATGCACGCAGCTAGTTCCACAGTGCGTTCTTGAGACGTCTTATAAGTACGCTCTCCCACTTCGAGTAACAGATGCGCACTGATTCAGAAACCGACCAACTATCACTTACGAGGTGCTTTCTTCTCCTCTTGCGAGCCGCCATTGCACATAGACGCGCACAGGCCCACACACCTCCCAGGTAGGGCGTTGATTCTCCCTTTTCTATAACAGATGCGCACTTGCTCAGAAACCGACCAGCTATCACTCACGAGGTGCTTTCTTCTCCTCTTGCGAGCTGCCGCCGTTGCACATAGACGCGCACAGGCCCATACACCTTTGCTGCTCTGCTACTGCTGTCCCCCAGCTCTTTATTCTGACCCTACCTAGTTCCAACCCTAGCTCCAAACCTAGCTCCAACCCTAGCTCCAACCCTAGCTCAACCCTAGTTCTAGCCCTACTACCTATTACACGCCAGCACGAAGCTCGTAAGTACGCTGCTCCGCAAATCCTTCCACCCGTACGGCTGGGATAGAAACCCCTCCTTTTGAAACATTGCTACGTGGCGTGCCCCAACCTAAGCTAATTTGACACAATCGCAACGACGTCGCAAAGGAGTCGCAAAGACGTCGCAAATGCGTCGCAAATACGACCCGGACCCGAAGCTTGAAACGATTTCCACGCAAATGTTACGGAAACAATCGGAACCGTTGAGATTGCACGTGGAGAGTTGAGCAATTTAGTCATACGATGGGTCTGCGACGCGTGTCAGGTGATTCTTAAGTTGCGTCATTCAGTAGTAAAAAGTGTCTGCGAGGTGTGTCCGCGAGGTGCCTGAAATATCTCAAAGAATTACAACTGCTACTACGTCTTGACAAGCCGGGAAGCTGATGCGGTGCAGACGCATTTAACACTTCCGAAAAAAAACTATTATTAGAAAGCGCCTCTATTACGACCTGACAATTAGGTGAGCAGGAGGGTTGCGGAGTTATCTACTCAATCACTCGGATGAAGGTTCGTCGCTCGAACCGTGCTACATTGCGATCACTTACGGAGCCGATGGCGGATGGCAATTGGCCAATTAAAACAGCGATCGGCGAGTTGTACGATAATTAAGAGCTGACGGTCAGAAGTGAGAAAAATGGCTAACGAAAAGTAGTGAATGAGACGTACTGGCTGCGCCCAACAAACTAGTTGCAATCTTGTTAGGGCGGGTCACGGTTAGTAGTAACACGGTCAAGACGAGGATCCTACTAGAAGGAACGGCCCTGGTTGGTTCAAGCAGCAACAAGACCTGGGAAGTTATGTAGTTGTGGGCAAGCGGATGTGCCAGAGAAAAAAGGCAGGTCGAGCTCGTCTGGTCGAGCTCGCCTAGACCCACGCGGAAGCGGCGCAAGCTTGTGCCGAGCAAGACAACCCCCACCGCCCCACGGGCTAGGCTCGGCTTGCCCGTGAACCAGTTCTCTGCCCGAACAGATTCGTGCGTGAAGTGTAGCTGGCGAGGCACCTGCTCTCGCCAGCGTCAAGGTGCAGCCGTCAAATTGACGTGCACCTTTCGCACAAACGGTTACGACGAGATCTGCGCGGCCACGTCGCAACCAGTTTGCGAAAACTTCGGTATTGAGAATCTCGATACTGAGGTTCGTGTTTGAAATATGTTTAGGGTGAGATTTGTTTATCTGCACACCGGTTTATACTCTACAAGTCCAACCGTCGGTATAACATATTGTTCCAAGCACAATGGCAACCGGAATCTGGAAACATGGAACAGTTTAGGTACCACTAGAAAACAAATATTTGTCCGATTTTTCAATCGCGACATAGTGCTTTTACTAGTTTCGTAAAAGTTGCAAATCCAATATAAGACTGTTTTATGTAAAATTGAACATGGCCACAACCCGAGCTGTGGGATCATATAGAAAATCGGGTGTAATGTTTTTTTTTTCTATTGCGCGCCAATAGTGATCCACGTGGCCGAGCCACTCTCGTCTCTGCGGAAGGGGTATGGTTCATGTTGGAAACAAGTGATTTATAGCGCCTCTGTCGCATCGAAGATAAAGACACAAACGGAACTAACTACAGCGAAGTATCTCGCGAGTCAACTGTCGGAGGTTACGCGAAGGTCAAAGGTCCCCGACCTTTGACCTGACGAAACGTACAGTGCGACAGCAAGGACATATAACTGATTCGTTACAGAACAGTTACCCGAGTCGGCACTGTATCGAACCGCAACAGCAAAACAGTTAAAATAGAACCTTTTCATATTCCTTGTAATCATATAAAAAGCTTGTATGTTTTTGTTATTATCAACTTACTTTGCCCTCACATACAAGCGCAAGGTGGTTCACAATCTTTCATTAAACGCTTCCGCTACTACATCATCCTACTCTTGAATTCTGTCCTGCAAAGATCCTAAAGGGCTTTCTCAGCCCAACATGGTATCAGAGCAGTCAGGGCAAGTTCGACTACAAACAAGACATCTACAACATCGCAAGACATGGCAACACAGAAGGAGAGAAGCTCCTCCAACGGCTCTCCTGGCACTACTCCTACTCCACCTCCTGCCTCTGGCCTACAGACAGAGGAGGGAACGGCAAGAAGACCAAGGGCATCATCTTCGGAAACTCCCGCAAATCAAGCCGCGGCCTTCGATCCAGACATGATGGAGAAGTTTTTCTCCTTCATGTCCTTCTACGAACAGCACCAGCAAGGGGCACCTGCACAGTCAAACAATAGCAACAACAACGTAACACCAATGAGCCTAGATGGTTCATCCTACGCACGTGGAAACCAACAGCAACGGCCTACCTTTGCCCCGTATGAGCCCCAGCGTGGCTCCGTCAGCTTTATGCCACACCCGCAGCCTGCATCCGGACAAGAAAAGACGCTGGATGCACTTCAAGTTCAGTCGCAGTTCGCGCACGTCTTAAAACTGCAGACGACAAGGCCTTTCGACGGAAAGGATTTCTTTACCTGGTCATTCGAGTTCGGGTTAATGATGGAGGGCACGCAGATTCTTGGCTTCTTCGACGGGTCCCTTCCATATCCAACACACGGCACACAGTACGACAAGCAGCAGTACACTTATCAGTCAATGATGGCGTACACAATACTGCTGAGAAATCTCACTTCAAGTCAGCAGCAGAACATACGGTCTTACCGGGGTTACGGCAACTCTGCAGAGCTCGCGTACAACCACCTGAAGAACCTGTATCAAGCAACAGACAGTGTAAACCAAAGTCGGTTAATGGCGCAACTAACGACAGTCGAAATGAAACCAGGTGAAAAAGGGATGGCGTATATCAGCCGTTGTCGCGAATTGCGCGACAAACTCCTTTGTTGCGGAGGGTCGATTTCAGAAGACGCCTTCGTCACAGTCATCATCGGCGGCCTCGGTCCTCAGTGGCGCTCCACCCGCGCCATACTCCGGGCACATGGAAAGATATCAGAAGCAGCACTCTGCGCCGAGATCCACGCTGAACAGCAAGATATGGACCTGCAAGAAGAACGACACAACAAGAAAGCATCAGTACCCGAATTCGCATTCCACACTCAACGGCGTTACAACAACAACAACTATCAGCATCAACCGAAACTAGTACCTCCATTCTATCACCTCTGCAAGACATGAGGACATCCTCGTACACACTGTCCTAACCGACAACAGTCAGAACCGACGCAGCGGCAGCTTCGACCTTCAAGCAGTCAAGTTGCCTCAACGCAAGCAAATCCGACATCTCAAGTACAAGTCTCAACAACATCGACGGGACAACCTGCGCAAGAAACAAGAAACATCGTCAGTTGTATGACACGGTTAACCGATTCCTGCATCACAGAATCACCACCATCTTACTCACCGGAAGAGCATCTTGACAACAGCACGTCTCGTCGCGAGTCGCTTCAACCAAATCCGACCTATGCAGCCATCGCTCAAAACGAGCCATCCGGGAAGGATACGTGGTTCTTGGACAGTTGCTGTGGACAGCATATGTGCTCCTCAGGACGTTTTGTTCAACGTGAACACCAACTTCAACGCGAAGTTGTCATCACCGTCGCCAACAACCAGAACCTGCGCACACGACGACAAGGCGTAGTACAACTTCAGTCACGAGAAACAAATGTCATACTGCAGATGTCAAAGGTTTTGATAGCAGAAGGACTCGGTTACAACTTACTGAGTGTCAGTCAGCTGATGGCGAAGGGCATACACCTCGAGGCCGACAGCACCACCCAGGAGTTTAAGTTATACCACGGCAAAGGTGGTCTCTACATCGGAAAGGCAGTCTTGAAAAACAATGTATTCGTCCTCGACTTTGTCCCAGATCTTGGCACTGTTGACAGCGACGGGATTGTCACCTTCACTTCTTGGACACATCCACCAGACCTTGACCCCGACTTCAGTCCAGAAGGATTCTGGTACTCGCACACCATCCCTGAAGCAGAACGAACAAGAGCATTAGTAACGATTCAACACCCGGCAGCAGCAGAAACAACATCAGCAGCAGAAACATCGGCAACACCAACACTTACAACACCAGTCGCGAGTTCTTCAACGACATCACCACACATCGACAATACTACACCGACTCCTGCGCAGCAGATAACTCCCACTCCTCGCGAAGTTCACAGAAGCGCCAACTTCACCGCCGCCTTTTACTCCAACTCCGATCTGTATCGTCGTTCACCCGGACATCGCGCCAGTGAAGACATCTGGCACGCACGAATGGGACATCCAAGCAATACAGTATTAAACAACACAATCAGAGCAGGCGTTCTCGACAAAGATTCACTGCTTCTAACCGACGGAAGTGAACTTCGACGAGCGCAAGGAACGTGCTTTACCTGCCCCGAAGCTGATTTACCGCATCGATCTTTCACTTCTCACCACAACCCCAGCGCACCAGCTTACGCACCACTTGAGAAGGTGTACAGCGACATCCTGTACAATCGCGAACCCGGACAAGGAGCATACAGTTATACCATCACGTTCATCGATGCAGCTACACGTTACGTATGGCACCTCAATCTTCCGAGCAAGGACATGGCCTTCGAAGCCTTCATCGCTTGGCTCCCAGTAGCAGAACGAGAATCGGGCGAGAAACTGAAGAGCTTTCAGTCAGACGGAGGAGGAGAATACACCTCACAGAGGTTCAAGCAGTTCTTGGCAGAAAAGGGAATCAAGAGGCTCATCTCGCTTCCTTACGCCCATCAACAGCAAGGCGTGGCGGAACGGATGAATCGAACTCTCCAGAACACCATGCGCAAGTTACTGCGTGGCATGCGACTGCCCAATCACCAGTGGCCTGAAGCGATGG